GATGGATGCAGTGGGGCTGTGCAGAGCTGCCAGAAAAAGCCTTTTCTCTGGTTATTCCATGATTTCCATGTAGCCAGGTTTATTGAAGGCAGCTCCAGGTCGTGCAGAGGCTGTACCTGCCTCTCCTGTGCTCCGTGTCCACCACGCCCTGACCCCCTGCAGATGCTGCACCCCCGGGTTTGTCTTCAAATGTGGCTTTGATTCCTTCTCTCAGTTCTAGCTAGGCTGGAAGCGTTCCTGAAAATGAAAGCCAGCTCTTTTCTGAGCTTTGAAGTGTGGAGTAGAACTGAACAGAGTAAAAAAAAATAAAAAAAAATCTGTCCAATGGGGGATGGGTTTTTAGAAAAACACCCTATTGAATCAACAGCATTTGTATTAAAACCAGCCAGTCCTTGGAGTATTTCCATAGGATCCAGCCCTCCCATTCTGGGCAGGCTCCCTGCAGCAGCATCCAAAGCTGTGGAGGGCTGGGAGGCAGTGGCAGGGGGGTTCTGGGCTGTGCCCACCCCGGGCAGGGGCAGCAGGGCAGGGAGGGCTGCTCATTGTTGAGTCAGTGATTCACAGCTGTGACTCACAGCCCCATCCTATAGCCGTGGAAGGCAGCCAGGTCTGGCCATCAGCTGTGTGCATTCTCCACTGCTAGGAGTTATTTTTGGATGTTTTTAGATTACAGCCCTTGGGTTTTTTTTTTTCTGTGCCTCTGAATTCTGGATGATTGCACTGCAAATAATTGAGACACTTGAATTTCCTGCTTAGAGAAGTGAGTTCAATACCTTTTTTTTTTTTTTTTTTTTTTTTTTTTTTTTTTTTTTTTTTTTTTTTTTTTTTTTTTTTTTTTTTTTTTTTGCAATGCTAAGGCATTTCTAAAATAGCTTTTCTACGTGGCGTCATGAGGAGCAGGCACACAGCTTTGGGGCTCTTTGTGCAAAATTGGGGAACACTGGCTGCAGTAAGGGTGAAGAAAAGGACATAGGGGGTGTCAGATTGAACATGAATCACCAGTGCACCCTTGCTGTGATGGAGACTGACTGGTTTTACTGGTCAGCTTGTAGCCAGCAGGACAAGAAGTTGCCCTCAATTCCCCTGTGGCACCCACAGATCCACTCCTGGAGCACTGTGCCCAGTTTTGGACTCCTCACTGCAATAAAAGCAGGACCACACCACCAAAATGGTCTGAGCACTGGAGCCCAGGGCAGGGTGGGAGAGGCTGGGAGAGCTCCTTCTGCTTGAGCTGTGGCACCAGGAGCACTGCAGCTTCCTTAAGGGCCTTCCAACCCAAACCATTGTAGGATTCCATGACTCGTGCCCCTCTTCCAGTCTGATTTTGTGATCTCACAGGGAATTAAGGGGAGGCAGGGCTTGAGGTGTCCCCCAAAGTGGAGGGGCTGGTGAGGCTCATGCCCTCATCCCTCACTAAGGCCACAAGGAAGGAAAAGGATCAGAAGTGCTGCCCATCCTGAGCTGGCTGGTGATGCAGAGTGCTCCTCCCCTGGGACACACAGCTCTAAACCAAGAGCTCAGAACAGCCTGAGCAAGCTCCATGTTTCTTCCCAACCCTTGGGAGGGTTGGGCTGTGCCACTCAGACCCCTCCCAGGCTGCAGGGAGTACCCAGACCCCTCATGCCTCCCTTTCCAACCATTCCTGGCCAAGTCTGGTGCCAGTGGTGCCAGCTCTCCTGCCTGTGCCTCATGCAGCCCTGGGGCTGTGGGGTGGGGAGCTCAGTGGGGTCGGGAGTGCTTGTGCAGGTGAATTCCCTGACCACAGGGTGAGCCTTTCCTTCCGTGCATTCCCACCGCTGTCGGACACGGAGGCTTTGACAGCAGACAGGAGGAATGTCTCTACAGGGAAGCCTGAAGGAGTTGCCTGAAGGAGGGGTGGAACAGGAGGGAAGAGTCTTTTGGGAGGTGGAAAGTGTGATACTGGCACTGTCACATCAGAGAGTTGAACCTGAGCCTCTGATTTCACAGCAGAGTTCAAACCATTGGAAGACTACACTGTTAAAAAACCCCAAAATGTATTTGATGCTTTCTTGTGCTTTCTCTCCCCCCATCTCTGGGTACCACCATCATGTCAGGGCAGCTCCCAGAGGCAGGATCAGTAGCTGGGAGGCTCAGGAATGTTTTGGAGCAGCTTTCCTGAAGCCCTGAAAAACCTGGGAACCTCATCCTCCAGCTGGGGGTGGGGCAGGAGCTGCTGGGGTTTGCAATGGAGTTTAGGTTCCTAAGTCCTTTATTGGATCTGGCCCGGGGCTCTATTCCCAGCCCTGTTTGTGACATTAACAGGTCACTGCAGCCCCAGGGCTGTCCCCACCTTGTCCTGGCGCGGCACCGAGCGCAGGGCAAGGGAGTCTCGGCACAACCATCACGGAGGAATCGGTCTGGGAGGGGAGCACGCCTCACTTCTGCCTTTTTGAACCCGTGCCAGCAGCCAGGCGTGCAGGAGGGCTGTGAAGAGTGCCCGGGTGCCCCGGGATGCGCAGGCTGCAGGGATTTCAGGATGCTGCCGGCAGGGTCGTGCTGGGGCAGCCTCTGCTCCATTAGTGGTTATTCACATCCTCTAAAGATTAACTGGTGTGAGAGCTGCCCCTGTGCCCGGCTGGGGATGGATCAGGCACGGGACACAGAAGGGGAGGGATGGCTCTGTGGTCCTGGTTTGGGTCCTGCACATCTTTGGACAAGTTGCTTAAGATCAGATTTTGTGCGGAGCACCTGGGAATGTCTGCAGAGCATCCTTTCAACATCCTTACCTATGTTGTATTTCAAAGGCAGCTTGAACATATATTCAGAATTCCAGAATGGTTTGGGTTGGGAAGGACCTCACAGACCATCCCATTCCATCCTTGCCATGTCAGGGACACCTCCCACTGTCCCAGGCTGCTCCAAGCCCTGTCCTACCTGGCCTTTGGCACTGCCAGGCATCCAGGGGGAATCCCAGCTTCTCTGGGCACCCTGTGCATGGGAAAGGATTTCACAGGGATGCTGAAGGCTCGTGTGCTTTCAAGGCTTCTCTCCTCTCTGCTTTGATGCAGCTACGAGGTCACTGTGGCAGGTACAGCCTTCAAGAATAGCACCTGTGGGTCCATCCCAATTCCAAAATGTCCATATTGAGCCTGTTCCATGTGTGAGGGTGCAGGTGGAGGGGGCACTCAGGCAGGGATGCTCAGCAGGGCATGAGGAGCCCATCTGGTGCCCAGCACGTGGCACTGAGCTGGCACCAGCCGTGCCCACGCTGGCATTTGCAGCGTGCAGGGTGCTGGGTGCTCAGGCATGGGGCTGCCTGTGGGACACCCCAGAGCATGGCTGGTCAGGAATTCTGGGGCTGGGCAGGAATTCTGGGGCTGGGCAGGAATCTGGTGTCTGAGCAGGATGCTGAGATCCCAGCAGGGCTTCAGGATCTGAGCAGGGTGTTGGGGTCTGAGCAGGGTGTTGGGGTCTGAGCATGGTTTTGGGGACTGAGCAGGCTTTTGGGGTCTGGCAGCTCCTGGTTATAAGGGCTGGGACCACAGAGGGGGAGGAGGCCACCTCTATGCCTTGTAGCTTTGTGGTTTGAACACTTTCCTGGTAAAAGGGGTAAGGTCTCTTCCTGGGAAGAGCTTTCCAACCCCCCATCCTCCCCTGTCTCACTTCAGGAGAGCTCCCAGCTGCAAGAGCAGGGCAGCCCTCATCCCAAGGGAGCCAGGGGGTAAATCCTGGCATTCCAGTGATGGAAAGGGCTGAGCAGTGACTAGGAGAGGAGACAGTGGTGATCTGAGTGGTGGGGTCATTTTGGGACAGAGCAGAGGGGACCCCAGGAAGCTGGTGAGATGTTTAGGAAGTGTGGAGGCTCTGCAGGGGCTCTGGGAGCACAGCCCTGAGCAGTGAGCAGTGCCTGAGCACAGCTGACACCTGGCAGGCATGAAAGCCGGGCTTGTTAGCCTGCACACAGAGTGCTGATTGTCGGCCTGGCCACAAAACCTGCTCAGCCAAAGTCTGTCAGCATCCCCCGAGTTCTCCCGGGCGGATCTGTGGTGCTCAGCACCCCCAGCAGCCAAGGGCAACCAAGGGAGATGCCCAGATGCTGCCTGCTCTCCTCTCCCTGCTGCTCCAGCCTCCCCAGGACTGCTCTTGGACTCTTTTCAGGGCAAATTCTGTGGTGCCAGGCAGCTGCTCCGTGATGACCCAAATTCCCACCACAGCGTGGGGTTTTCTCACCCTCCATCACAATGAAGCTGAATGGAGTTGTAAGCTGAAAGAGCTTGAAAGGTGCATCCACTCAGAGCCTGCAAAAGGACAGAGGACCTGGTCCTCCAAGGGTGCATATGCACCCCTGGGGCTTCAGGACTGCAGTTTTTATGATATTACACTGTTATTTGGCAATGGATTACATTTTATCCCATGGCAGGGGGTTGCAGATGGATGATCTTAAAGTTCTCTTCTGACCCAAACCATTCTGTGATTGCTTTTTGGTGGGGTTTTGAGGAGATGAGATGCTTGGCTGTAGCCTCTGAAGGCACCAGGAATTAGGAAGGTGTTGCTGGAAGCACCACTGAGTCCCCAGGTGTTTTTGGTGGTTATTCTTCAAGAGCCTGGTGAGGGATGTGTTGCTATAGGACATGAGAAAGCACACCACGAGCCACTGCCATTGCAAGGTAAAAAAGAAGAAGGTTTATTTTCTGACTCCAACTTTTATACTTTTCCAAAGGTGACATTGGATTGGAGAGTGAATGGGCCACCTCTCTAAAGACATTGGACAAACCACTAGTACATCAATTTTCTCCACCCCCACGAAGGAATGCAAAACAATATGTTGTTTATAAAAAATGTGTAGGAAAGTTTTCTAACAGAATGTAAACTCAGAAGGCTTTAGAAAATCTTAAGAATCAGGGCGACAGGGATGGACACCTCTGAAAGGGTCTTGGCTCCTGAGTGCCATTTATGGGAGGATTTAAAGCAGGCACTGGTCCAGCCCACTCCTCCTGACTGAACTGGAGTAACTTGCTGTTCGTTTTCTTTTCCCACAGCTCCCAGAATGGAGAGGAAGCTGGAGCCTGGCCCAACAACCAGTTTGACACGGAGATGCTCCAAGCCATGATCCTGGCTTCAGCCAATGGTTGGTGTCCATCACTCATGGGAAAACCCTGACTCCTGCTCTGGGGGGGCCATCTCGGGGTCGTGCTGAGAGATAAGAGACTGATTTATCTGGGTGAGCTGGGCTGGCTGCAGAGGTTCTGCTTCAGAAGATCCCAAAGCTGGGAAAAACACTGATGTCCCTGCAGAGAGAGGGGTCAGGAAGGATCCAGGGGGAAAAGCACTGATGTCCCTGCAGAGAGAGGGGTCAGGAAGGATCCAGGGGG